TTCATCTCATGTAAACAATAACGTGGCCACAGCGTGACGTGGAAAAAGGCACATAGCTTTGATGTTGTGTTACAAACTCTGTATTCCTCGTCCACACGTAAACACAAAAAGGAGTTTTAAAAAATCCCAGTTTTCTGTGAAAACGCCGTTTACGTGGACGAAACAGCTGCGTGTTCAGAAACACCCGCGTAGGTGCGGACGCAGCGTAAAAGAGTTAGTAGTTTATTTTATTACTACCTGTAATTTATTGCAGATTACTTGTATTTGCGAACATTTTTCTTGTAAAACAAAGGCAGCAGAAAAAGTTTGGGAACCAGTGCTGTAACTATGAGACAGATGGCTGACACACGAACCTGTGGGAAGTAACATGTTTGTAGAAATGTGAAAATGTTCATGCCATAATCCCTCCCATGTTTCCGTGTGGCACTGTGGAGTAATGCACAATTCTTCCAAACACGGACAAAATATGTAGAGGGAGATTTGTTACAAGGCGTGTTGTAATCCCAGAACAGTGAAGATTACATAACAGAAGAGCTTCACAGCTCGTCAGGCAGCAAGTGGACACTGAAGAGTGTGTGCGCCTTATCAGAAGGAAAACTGTTCTCTGCACCTGAGATAAAGGATCGTATAAAAGAAGAGCGAGCGCTCCCTGAGGTCTCTGACTTCTTAGACATTTGAACCTAGACAGGAGACGTGTGAGAATGGCAGGAGAGGACAAAAGGAGAGATGAACGAACTGCTGGAGGATCAGAAGGAAAGCAAAACAGGTTGGAGACAAATCAGTTGCTCTTTAATAAAATGGATGAAGCAGCATGTACACTTGTGAGACATGCATGTGTGAGGTCAGGTAAACCTCTGCAACATGCTGAAATGCTGCTTCTAACACAGAATAGACCGACGAGCATTAATCGTGTATCCCCACAGGATGGAGCCCGAGGCTGACGACCAGCGAGTGGAGCGAGGTCCAAAGAAGCGTGGCGTGCTGCCCAAACGACTGCTGATAATGTCGTCTGTGGCTGTTGTGCTCATCGTGCTGCTGACTGTCATCGTTGTACCTGTTGTGCTGCTCACTAAGACGCCAGGTACATTTTTACAATATGTACGATATAAATGATAAAACAATGATGCAACTTTGTTTATGATCCAGATGATGAAACATACCTGAGTAAATGTATTTATTACTCATCACCAGAGGTACATTTCACAGCACTTTGTACTTATATGCTGTATTATATACAACTGCAATAATATCAGAGTCCAGCTGGAGCTGGTTGCAGCACCTGTGGCCTTCAAAGCATTTTCTCTGCATTGGATCTGAACAACAGTCAAATCTGAGCAGACGTGCCAAAGCTTTGTTTCTTGTTTTCTGTTTGCACCATAGTTCTTCCAAATGTTTCAGTTCAGGATTTTTTAACTGCTGTCATGTACACCATCAGTAAACTGTGACATTACTGCTTTTACCTAACCTAATCATCACCACGTTTCACTGTAAAGACCAGGGCGCTGCTTTAGTTGGATGAGCAGGCGACCACGTGCAGCACGGTTTGCGTCCGACCTGCGGCCCTTTGCTGCGTGTGTCCCCCTCCTTCCTCTTCACCGTGTCTGTCTAATAAGGCCAAACACAGACTGTAGGCTTAGCCGTGGTTCTGAAAGTCGAATGGAAGCTCAAAGTGCACGACTGGCAGTGTTGTGACATACATACCTACTGCATGTAGAGTTCACCTGAGTGTACAGCGACAGTAAGATGTCTTTGCACAGGTGAAACAGCCCACAGTGTTGCAGGGTTTCACAGGGTGCTGCAGCCTCCAGCAGTGTGCCTTCTCCAAACGTAACACTTAAATACTCGCTGTGTCAGCATCACAACTTTATATTGCTGCTGCTAACATCAGTGATTACAGTGATCAAAGTTCATTTGATATCATACTGCAGCTCATTGCAATGCCATGATGCATGAGTGCTCATCATTTGGCTTCTGGTCTTATGACAGGACCATAGTCATGTGGACAAAAAGTACACGGCTGCTTTGAACTGTGTGACTTTTGAATCAACTGACATGAAATGTGTAACGAAGATAATGTTACACGATGTGTTTTGTGCTGTTAGACCTTGGTCTCTTTGAGTAATATGTGACAGTAGCTTCTTTAAAAAAGACACTAAGAAAAAAGCATTCATGAGTAACTGCAGCCTTCTTTATAAGCCAGATCCCATCTGTCTCGCTTCAGCTGACAATCCCAAACACACTGTCCGTGCAGTAAAAGCATATCATGATAGAAAAACACACAGTGGGTCATTGTTGTGGACTGGCCACACTGGACCTGGAGCTTCAGGTTAAATATTCCCAAAGAGACAAGCGAGCTCGTGTGAGACAGGATAGGCTGAAGGATGAAATCTGTAAAGCTCGTTAGACCTGCACAGGCTGCATGTGTCATACATTGCTCCCATTTAGTATTTTCCTAGGAAAACATAAAGAAATAAGAGGTGGCTACTGTAGCTGTTATCTTGTAAAACATGGGGTGTTTTGCACTTGGACCTACATCCATATGAACCTGATAACCTGCTGATGGCTAAATGATGTCACAGGGCTGTTACTGTCATATTCAAAAACACTGAGACAATGTCCACTTACACGTTTTCTGAGTCTGGGGTTGATGTCATTCAAACAAAGAGTTCATACACAAACCATCAAAATTCAAGTCTGGCACCAGTTTTGCCACAAAGCAGCATTTCGACGTCGTTATTGGGCAACAGACAAAAAAGAAACGATATAATTACATGTAGAGACCCTGGACTGTGTGACTATGACAGGGATGGGTTTAAACAGAATCTTTAAGCTGAAGAAATGAATGAACTTTAAACAAGCTGCTCTCCCAACAAAGAGCAGCCTCCCCAAACACACCGTCGGCTGTTTTAGCTGAAAGCTCCCAGTTCTGCTGTGACAGGGACTACGTACCTATGACTCCGTCACTGTCTTGCTGTCCAATCGTGTTCCTCAGCTCCGTCTTCTGCCTCGTTCTCTGGTGGAGACATGCTGGAGTACTTGGTGCAGACGGGGAACATCAGTGAAGCAGACGGCCTTTTGGCTACGTGGTTTCACCGAGCCAACAGCAAGGAGGACATGTACAAAGCGCTCATGGGTAAAAACACTCACACAGACAACACTGCATTATTTGATGGTGTCGGTGCCTGAACCTGCAGTCAGGTACAGACAAAACAAGCACCGCCTCCTGTCATCTTTCCAGGTGACACCATGATCTTGGAAGCCGACGTCACTCTCATGGGTTATGGGACCCCTGATGAAAAGCCAGTGCCGATCATGGCACACCCTCCCGACATATATAGTGACAACGCTCTCGACGAATGGTTAGATGCTGTACTGGCTTCTGGAAAAGGTACAGATCAGAACTGTCTCCACAGAAAGTCCATCTGATCACAGTTTTTAAAGGCGTGTTCGTTTGCAGGCATCAAGTTGGACTTTAAGGCTCTGGAATCAATGGGTTTGTCACTGGACCTGCTTAAACAAAAGGAAAGCAACAAGGGAATAAACAGACCTGTGTGGCTGAATGCAGACATCCTCAGAGGCCCCAACGTCCCAAGCTTTGTAGCTCCAGTCAATGGAAGCAGGTATGAAATCCAGCTAGACCCTTGGACAGAGTTCAGAATTAGGAAGGGAAAATGTCTAACATCTAAAGACTGATCGGGAGGTTGGTGGTTCGATCCCTGGATCCTCCGGTCTGCATGCCAAGTGTCCCTGGGCATGATACTAGCCCCAGGTCGCTCTCCGATCTCAGCACGAATGTAGTTAGGAAGCACTAAAAAGCTTAGAAGAAAGTGACTGGGTGAGTGTGGTGTGGAGACTTGAGAGAGCAGGAAAGTGCTACGTAAGAATCAGTCCATGTTTATGTCTCCCTCTTTTTTCAGGTTTTTGGAACTCATTCAGGACAAGTTTCCAGATGTGACTTTGTCTCCTGGGTGGAAGGTATGGCACGCTCACAGTAAGAATACCATTGAACCATTATACCAGGCATGTGACGAGGTTCTGGGAATGTTCCTGTCAGGAACAGGAAGAGACTCAAGGAATCCTGAACTGACATTTATGAGAGAATTCAAAGCTGGAAGAAGAACTTTGAGCTTCAAAAAGATCCTTTGAGCTAAAGTAGACAAAACAGCTTTTATGTTCCTGTGATCCCTAAAATTAAAGACAGTTGAATTAATGTTGACATACATTATGGTAAATGCTTCATAGTGGGAACCATGCATCACCCATCAAGAGTTTGGACACCTTCTCATTTCATGGTTCTCTTTATTTCTACTACTTCCTACACTGTAGATACTGAAGACATCAAAGCAAGATATATGGAATTATGTAGCAAAGAAAACAATGATAACTCTAAATGTATTTTAGAGTCCTGTGAGTAGCCGCCCTTTGTCTTGTTGACAGAGCTGCGGCCTTCTCTCAGCTTCATGATGTCG